ATACACATATATATATATTCTTTTCTAAATTAAATGATTTTTACAGCCACATTGGGCAAGAAAATACAATTAAATATGGACATTTTCTGTATAGTGTACTGTTTAAGTGAATACTTGTTTGATAGTAAAAATCGAAGTCAACAGATGAGATTTTACAAAAAATGCTAGAAGCAGATATTAAGTTACATTATTTCACAAGAATGCTTATAAAGATGTATAATTTTTCTATAAACCAAGTGGGGAAAAAAGCATATTTTTCAAGGTTGGGAGAGTGTCAGGATCATTACAACTTCAAAGCAATTCTAACAAGTCCATTTTTAAATATGTCGAAGCCTTTCTTGAATAAACAGTTTAGGAATATAACTGGGAAATAAGTACTTTCAGAATCAAGGGCAGGGAGGCACGTATGGTTTCAAGAATGGTTTCGGGGAAACAGGTCAGCTAGGAACCTCCCATCAGCTTACAACATTCCACTGTACTGACAGGCTGTGGCCGATCAGTTCAGCCGAGAAGACCAGCTCAACGTGTGCCATAACCACCCAAAGTGCACATTCATTAAGGGTTCAGATTCTGGGTCAGAGTCGTTAAGCCTGTACTGATACCAGAATATCTTTGTAACTTTCTACTCAACATTCATTTATCCCACAAAGATTGAGAGCTAACTACACATGTGTCGGGCCTATTCTAGGTTATGAAGCAACAGCAGGGCACAAAACTCCCATGGCTCCTGGCATCACATGGATTACATTCCAGTGGAGAGACAATGAAAATACAGAGACATAAGTACGTAGTATAATGACATACACTACAACAAAATGATAAACACTACTTAGGTGGGTGGGCCAGAAAGCCCATCTCGAAGGCAGTGACACTGAGCAGAGACCTGCAAGAAGGAAGGTGGCGAGCCATGGGAGGAAGCCTGTGCCCAGCAAGAGAACAGTATGTGCACATGTTGGGAATGTGCTGGGGTTGTTCAAAGACCAGGAAAGGCTCTAGTGTGACCAGAGCAGAGCTTGTGAGAGGAGACTGGAAATAACAAGAGAGGAGCTGGACCCCAGACCACTGCCTCTGCTAGAGAATTGTTGCTTTGAGTCCAAATTACATGGTTTCATGTAAACACTGCATCAATCATTATCCTGGGAATGACCAATGGAACATTTCTATTAAGTTTAAAGTAACACGAGATGGTCAAACAATCATAACTCTATTGATACAGTCTATAGGATATTCAATGTATGTTCATATTTAATATAGTGGAAATTTCTAATTACAAGCTTAATAAAGCTTCCCAGTTGGTCAGGTGGAGAAACCAAAGCCCAGGGTGCTGATGAACACTATCTGGGCTCTTTTAGCTGGCAGGTTGTGAAGTTTTGCAATGGAATCCTGATCAGCCAGGGTCTACTGAGGTGCCTTCATATGCTTAAAAGGGTAGCACTGCTTCCGAATGTATTTATTCCCCAATCTATTTCCCAACTATATCCTGTAACACTTCAGAAAGTGCTAGGGAAAAGATGTCAAAATTAATCTGAAGTTTTATTTGTCCTTTCTGAGAACTTTAATTGTCTCCCACATAAAGTGACAGATCATGTTTATGCATATTTTAGATATGCAATCAAAGCGGCATGCTAAATACAGAAAATATTCAGTGAGAACCTAGTCAGATATTCCTAATGCTACTCTTCTCTTCATCCTCAAAGCATCCCATTTAACTTACACCACAGGCTTTTCACATGGCTTCTTTCTCTCTCCAACTAGACTGCAAGCACCTTGGGGCAGGGCTGCACAAATGAATGCTGAACCTTCATCCAACAGATCTGTAGCAAAGGTCTGAATTACACTTGGCATATAAGGATGTGATCCTGAACACTACCTCCAGGTGACCTGCGCTACCTTCCTAATGCCTATTTGCAAATAAAAACGACATTGCACAGAAGATGTCTGTCACCCTTTAGCTTTGCCACAGGAGGACTAACACGTAAATATCTTGTGGGTGACACCATCCTGAAAAGAGCTTCAGAGAAGGTCCATTTTATGTTTTTGAGTATGAAAGGTATCTTAGCATCTAAGATTAAAATACTATATAAAATTTTAAATATAAGGCAAAGTTATTTGGTCTTTAAAATTTTCATAGCTATAATGGTGAAATGTAAAAAACCTATTAACTAATGAATAAATACAGCTAATAAAGCTGGCACACAGACAGTGTGTGGTGGGAGTAAGGATGCAATGAAAGAGAATATTTCTCAACTTCCCTATTGATGGGGACTTGCATTTCTGACCAATTTGTGAGTGTGTCTGTGTGTGCGCACACATTTTGTCAAGCATGTTTCTCGCTTGGAAATAAAATGCCATTAGTACAGTGGGAAAGAATAGAATTGTTTTTCAAAATAAACACTCAAGCTGTGACTATACATACACAACCTGAAGAAAAGAAGACATTTCATCAATAATTCAAAAGTCTGAGAAAACATTTTCTACTGACACTGGGATACTGTGAAGTTTCTCAGTTAACCATGATGGAATCGCATTGTAGATTATGAAGTTTTAAATACAGACTTTGAATTCTGAATTGTGATCCTTCCAATGCTAGCAAGAATGTGCAGACTCAGGAATTCTCTAAAATTGCTACCAGGAAACCATTGCAACCTTTCTAGACAATAATTTGGCAACATATAATAAAACCTTTAAATGCTTGTTGCTTGCACCAGTAATTACAGATATAGAAATATTAAGAAACTAATCCAAAATACAAAGATCTATGCATCAAATGTTTATCATAGTATTATTTATAATATCAGAGCATTGGAAACATGTATGTTCAACAGAGGAATAATTCAATAAATTATGATACTTTCATATGATGAAGTAATGCAATCAATAATATGTTTACAAAAAGCTTTCTACAAAGTAATATTATGTCATATACATTTTCCAGGTGTAAAATTCAGGATTCACAATCACATATATAGTATGACTTCATCTAGGTAAAAAAGACTAGAATAAAAAATACCACCATGGCTATTATCTTTGGGTGCCACAATTATGGCCTATCATTCATTCCTTTTTTAAATCATCAAAAATGTGCTTAATTTTCACAATAAGTGAGTATTGCTTTTATAAAAGTAAAAATTCTAAAGAAATGGTTAACATCATCAAACCGCTAAACTATGTTTTGATAGAGTACAATTTGCCTTTCTCCTAATCAGTTGGAAAACAAAAATCTTTCAAGGCCAGTTTACCTTAGAGAACACAGGGCCATTAGACCTGCACGTTTAGAACCAAGGCCTGTAAGGTCAATCCATCTGAGGGGTCACAACACGGCCTGCCTCCAAGCACAGTGCAGGGCAGACAGTCAGGGAGCAGCATGGGAAAGGGAGAAGCTAGTTAGACTGCTTTCCTATTGGTCTGTCTACTGCAGCCTGATTTCATGTTTTTGTTTCAGATTTTGTGTCTCCTCGAAATCACTGAGATTCTCACATTTCAATAAATGTGAAGGAATACAAACACATTTCTGTATTCTCATTATTACCCACTCAACTGTTCTTTGAGTAACCATTCAAAAAGGAAATACTTTTATTTCTGGCCTAAACTACACAGATAATCCAATAAAGTATGTTCATAGTTTAATAATTAAGTATACTTCTTAATGAAACTACTATTTTAGAAGGCAGCTCTTAGAGATCTTGGAAACCATCTATTGAAACAGCCTTTTTACAACGAGAAGGCAGAATATCAGAGGGCAGACCCACCGCCTCATGGTGGATCCCCAAATTCCTAGGAAACACTCCATGTTCCTTCACTTCAGTTAACAAAGGCTTTAGAATCTCAACATACTTTTTAATGATGGCCTAAGACAGGGGTGGGCAAATTTTTTGACTCAAGGGCCACAATGGGTTCTTAAACTGGACCAGAGGGCCGGAACAAAAGCATGGATGGAGTGTTTGTGTGAACTAATATAAATTCAAAGTAAACATCATTACATAAAAGGGTATGGTCTTTTTTTTCAATAGTTTTATTCATTTCAAACGGGCCAGATTCGGCCTGCGGGCTGTAGTTTGCCCATGGCTGGCCTAAGACTACAATTTTTACAAAAAAGGATGTATTTTTCACACGTAAATAACTTTTCAGTCTTTCTTTGGAGGGTCTGAATACCAAAGCAGTTGCTGGCTTCAGAGGTTTTGAGCCAGTCTTAATTTTATGTGTATGACTTGGGTTGTGACTTTAAGTGTTATTTTCACTAAGGAGATTATGACTTTTGAGTAAATCAATTCAAATTTTGCAAAGATCTGTTTACAGAGGAATCCTCCTAGACACAAAAGTTGTAGGTATGAGTGTGTGTGTGCTCCCATATCTTTCTTTAACAGACACTACTACTGAAAACTGAATGAATATTTTATCATATACAGCATAGTGTATACTTTTTAAAAATTCTAACTTCAATAACTTTTCTCTCTAAAAACACTTCTTGATTCTTAAAAAGCATGACACCAGTATTTTCTCTATATAGTAATTTCATTCATAAAATTTTCAGGCATAAAAATCATTCATCTAAAATTAGTACTACAGAAAGGTTGACCTGTCGATCTTAAGTGTAATAATTTAAGAGCATATTTCAAATAGTTTTCCTTTCCAATATGCCTTTAAAATATTAAAGAAACCAACAATTTCTAACGAAACCATTACCATTTGCCATAATAAATTATTGTCATATTACAAAGCCAATAAAATTTTTAAAAAGAGCTATTTAAAATATTCTGTTTTTTTAGAATGGAATGTGAAAACTATTTATAGTAAATTAAGCCAAAACTAAATATCCCATGGACACTATGATGTTGATTTAATGCTCAATATTTTCATTTTAAAATATAAAACCCCTTTTAAAATGTCACAGTAGTACATTATTATATATCTCTATATGTCCTTACTTAGTATATGACTTTTTTTTTTTCTTCTTGGAATCACTAACCCAAAACTGATGATGCAAAATACAACTGCACCAAAATTCAATCTTATTGTTTAATATATTTTCAACTTGCAGATCTAAAGAAGTAAATGAAAATTAGTTTGAGAACTTTCATACATACATGTAGATATATGTATATATGAACATAGAGACCTATATAAGCCATGCACTTACAATAAGTTTCCAGTAGTCAATTGAGATTTCAAAATATTCTAACAATTTCCTACATAGTATATATATATACACACTTAATTGAGACAGTCTCACCATATTTTTTAAATCTATGAAACAGAGCATTTGAGAAATCCTTCAAAAATATATTTGAAAACTTAAATAACAGACTTAAAACAAAACACTTTCAAATGTTATAGAGAAAATTAATTGAGTAATCTAATTTATTCATAATTATTATTACAATTGATAGGTACTACGATACCCTCTAGTGGGGCAGGCAGGTCATACCTCTGGTAATAACTTTCAATTGCTTCCGAAGTATGATGTTTGGCATGGGTTCTCTTAATATGTTTCTGAAACAAAACAGAGAAGATTTTTATGTTGTGTCACATATTAAGTTCAAGTACAAAAATGACATATTTCTTCATCCCAACATCTAACACATAGGGCAAACTGAATAACAGCTGGGGATTGTGGTGGTGGTGGTAGGTCATTTTTCCTTCTACTCCATGAACCCATGCATTTTAATCTCCATTGCTGGGCTGGGATGTCTTCAGACTGCACCACAAGGTACAGTATGTATGTAAAAGCCAACAGGGTCAGAGTAATTGAATCTAAATAAGTTTGCGTAGGGTGGCAGAGGGTAGAGAAAAACTTGTTCCCTTGAAAACCTTTGTATTAATTTTCCCTCAATTCAATTCCATCTAAGTCCTCTGCACTCTAGTTTTACAATCCAATTGCCATTTTTAACCAGGACGAACATTGCTTAAAAACAACTTATTTGAAAACTACAAAAAGTAATTCCATCGAGACTTGCCACTTGACTGACACCTGTCATCTCATGATAAATGACTCCATTTTCTGCCTCTCTTGCCTTCTGCCACTCCAGCAATGGTCATTTATCATCATCTCTGTCAGCAATGGAAAGCGGCACTGACAGTGCAAGTCAGCAAACATTTAGCACATGGAACCACGCAACACAGGGAAATTATTATTGTCAGAATAATAATGGTTTAGCATAATTTATTACAGGTCCACCAAATAAGCAAAGGCTAGATGTTATTAGACAGATGGATGGGTAGGCTTGGCAGGCCTCCACTGAGACGCAGGCGGTGCTTGATGTGGAAAGGAGAACATCCTCCAACCCAATCAGAGAGCTGGCAGTTCAATTACAAAGAAATAAAGGGACATTCATCATTCAATTAGGCACCTGTCAACCCTCACAAAGGAGAAAACTTCTAACCTGGTACTCCTGGGAGAAGATGCTCAGCAGAGTGGCCTGCGATTGACTGGAACAAATAAAAGAAGGACAAAGTTAATTACTGGAGTGCACGGCAAAGAAACAAAAGAGAAAGGAGCTTCAAAGGTAGGCCTGCTGCCCTGTAATCTAACAGAACATGAAAACAAGTGTGGAAAAGTTGTTCCAGATGAACACCTCAGACAAAGGCTTGCTGCTGCCGGGTCAAGGAGAGAGAAAACGGGAAAGGGGAAAACGTGACGGTCTCAAAGTCAAGTATCCTATGATGTGGATATTTTTTAAAACTTTAGAATGATTGCAAATCAAATCTGTAGCATGCAGACCAAAAGCAGGTTAAGTTTATTTCCAGTAATAAACGAGAGGGCTAAGCCCCACAAACAATAGGAAATGTGCAGAGCATTTGTTGGAAACGTTCTGAAATTTGTTTTGTTAGCAGACAGGTATCCTCTTCTGTAGCTATTTCAGACTCAGGGGGAAAAACTTTGGTCTTCACGAGAATTAACACAGACCATTGGAACATTCCCACTGATACTGGTGTGCTTAGAAAAGAGAAGTTTTCATGGCAGGAAGCTGAGGTCCTGAGTGAGTCATTCCCAAAGACTGTCATACGCCTTCTGCACCTAGACCCCATGCAATGTCAGGCACCTGCCAGTGAAGCAACCTGGAAAACATTCTTCCAAGTGAGAGGTTTTTTTCCTCTCACATTTGTTAACATTTAAAAATGGAATGGAATATCTTTCTCTCTAAAAAAGCAACCAATGCCCCATTGCTACTCTTTTTGATTGCCCTCTGTAGATATAGCCACCTGTCATATCTTGAAAACAATGAATTATCTTTGAAATGTTCTCCTGCTAAATGCTATCTGAACAAATTTCAGGGTTAATAATTTGACTTTTACATTATGCCAAAGCACTGTGAATAAGTAATTTTTTTCCTATTCAAGAATGAAACCTCTTGAGCTCATCATAGGTAATTTGGGGAGTGTAAAAAACAAAAACAAAACTGATGACAGCATATTGCTTTTTTCACCGTCTCATTTTTTATCATTTTTTGCATTCCTTCATAGATTTGGCTTCTAACCGCTTTCCACTCTTATCAGATTACAAAAAGTGGGTTGAAAATAAAACCATAAATGTTTACTAAGGAAAACTGGTAATTACTAAAGGATGGTTTCAATAACTCAAAAGTACTGAGGAATTAGCGAATACAATTACAAATTCATTATAGTCCAATTTTTTTCAATTTCCCTTTAAAAATGGAAACCACCTTTGAAAGAGTCACCTTTATATATAAAATCGTATTATGCCTGGCTTGCCTGAGTTTTGCATGCAAATTACAAACCCTAGTAGGGTTGCTGACGACTACCTTCTAAAACAAATAGTAAAATTACACCCAAATCTTTGTAAGCCACTGAATGTTAATACACTAGATATTTTTGTGCAATAAATGGAACCTCTCCTCATTGTAAAGGAAAACATATTTATGTTAACATAAATTTTTATGGTAGGCAGAATATCTGTCGCAATGTGTCAAAAATATGATGGGAAGAATGTGCTTGTAATGCTCAAGTTGGAAACCAATGACTAAAGAGGAGGAAAAAATTGTGAATAAATTTTAAAAATGTAACTGTAGCTGCCCAGAATGGTAAGGTCAGATGAGATAATGTCTTTAGCCAGAAAAATGTCTTCAAACAGCTTAGAATTCAACTAAAACCCTGGACAAAGACTAGGGAGCAACCCGTTCTCTCGATGGCCAAGAGGATTAGAGAGACGGTCCCAGCTTAGCACACTGGGAGTAAACTCTGGTTAGACCTGAAATGAGAAAATGAGTTACTTCACATGGTAACAACAGACAGGTAGGCCTGGGTCCAAAATGCCTTGGGTTTGGTGGACTAGACATAGCTGCAGAGAACCGCATGACCTCTGCAGTAGTTGGCCAGCCTAGCCTCTGCTTCTGTATGTGCTAAGCTTAGAGAGTTCTGAACAGCCTCACATATAAAGAGTAGGAAAGTAGTTTTAGTGCAACTAAGACCTTGACTCCAGGGTATATTACTTGCTTGTTTCTTCCAATGTGTTAATTCTGAGAGGGTCAATCTTGAATACCACAATCAGTCAGTCAGCAGTATTCACTAAGTATCCACAATGCCCTAAGGCCATGGGTATGGGGAACTAGGACATCAAAATAAATCATTCAATGAGGTGGACAGGAATTGACTTAGAAGAAACTTCCAAAGTATGTGTGCACACATTCCCCCCCCCCCCAAGTTCAAACACTGTCAGGTATTCATATATTTTTTAGGGATCTGGTGAAGTAAATCATGCCCTGAACTTTCACATATTTCAAGATTGCACTGGCTTTGTAACATATAACCATCCGTCACTTAGCAGATAAATTTTCATAGTAAAAAATAGTCACTTAATTTGCACAAATATCCAATATATTATTAAAATTTCTTCAAAAACCAGCTTCGTGTTTTTTTCCCATGCTACCCTCCCAGATGAAGTTCCTCCCCATGTCTGAGAAAGAAGCAACTGGGAGGAGCCCTAGATGGCTATGGAAGACCTCGCCAAGGGGTGACAAATGGCTCTTTGGAGCAGCAGCAGCCATGTTGCAGCAATGAGAAAACAAGTGCGAGGACAAAGCCCATGGGGGGACGGTGGGACAGAAACTGAAAGAGCCAGGTCCTTGAGGAAGGACGCTGTTGAACTGCTCAAGAGACCACGAATTGAACTGACCAGCTCCATACTTCTTTTGAGTAATAATACATTTGTTGTAACCCTCAAAAACAAAGGAATAAAACTGCCCAGGTTTCTGTGTGTCCTGGTAAGGAGGTGCTCCATCAGGATGGCATGTTTTTGGAGGTAATACATGAAAGGGGTTGTCCATTTTTACACTTTTAGATCTCTTCCTAGCTGGCAGCTACTATATTTGGCTTCCTTAAAATTGTTCCTCTATCACTGTGTCACTAAGTTGATATGCCTAGTGATCATAAATTGGTATGTGTGATTTTCCTGTACAGATTTTAAACATTGACGGTGTACTATTTAACCTCATTTTACACTGCATTCAAGACACTTCAGATGCCAAGTATGTAAAAACAAGGCAAACACACACACACATACACACACACAGTTCCCCATATAATATTTAACTCAACATGTCCCCAAAGCCATCCAGCTAAGACAGTAACCTGAAGGATGTTAGAGAAAATGAGGGTTGGATGGGTGCAGCACAGACTAGGAGCAGAACTCAGCATACACTTAGTTGCAACATCCATAATGAAAGGCAAGTCATCATGCTCCCAGGTGAAGACTTAAAACAAGTAAAGTCTTAAGGAAGAAGATACCACACATTTTAAGTCCTTCCTCTTCCCAAGTACCAAACCTCTGAAAAGAACCATAAAGAAATAAAACCGTTATTTAATTTTCAAGCTCCTTTTGCTACAGAATCTAGGAAGCATAAATGTCTACACTCTAGTGCACTCAAAATTATCTGAGCAAAATGAGTATTATTTCTGGGACTTGGGGAGCAATAAAGCAATTAAAAGGAGATAAGTCAGGATACTTCTACAAAGCATTAGGCTTGGAAACTTCACAATGACAAGGCACAAACACCCTCTCTAAATGTGTGAAGGAACACACGGGAACACTGGCTCTATGTAGCTTCTGAATCAGAGAACTAGTCAAGCAAGGTTTGCTATGAAAGTACATCCACCCTCCCTCACACACACCCTTCAAACACACACCTGCATGCAAATTTGAAACACAGAGCCGTTCCCCACTCAAAATCAAAACAGAATTCAATAAAAGAGCAAGAATTGGTAGAATACCACTAATTACTTTTTTTTTTTTTCAGGAACGTACAATGTGCAGTGGAAAGAATCTGGGAAATTACTGTGGAGAAAACAGGAAAAAGAGTTAAACTAAATTCAGGAAATAGAGGAAAAACTTATCTATTATACTTCCCCTCCTCCATTCTTTTTTCTGATTTCTGACTTCATATTAAGGATCCAGAATACAGATTATGCCTAATCATAGCAAATATTTCCATAAATGATTACTAGTATATAGGTGAAAGCATTAAGTTTAGTAGAGAAAGTCTTAAAAGGTATACTTATATTGTATATCGGAAAAAAGTAGTTACTGTCCCAGGAACTTAATTAATTTGGCTGATAAGCCTAAGTCACATGCAAAACAGCTCTACAACAAAAGCCAAGATTTATATACTTGAGCACTTTATTTACCCTCAACAACCTTCTAAGATAGGTACTATTATTATCTGTATTTTAAAGATGGAGAAATGAAGGAATAAAAATTAAGTAAAATACACAATTAAAGAGCTAAGATTAGCAGTACAGCTAGAAATCATATCCAATTCCAAAACCCAAACTTTTAACCCCAGCGTTAACTTGCTTTGGCTAAGAGTTCCCAGAAATTGGTTTTGCACATCATGTGTGCTAATACCCCCACTTGAGCATTTACATGTTATATTACACTCCAAATAACCCTGAAAGGTGAGCATTGTTGGGGTTTTGATAGAAAATTAAAGCCACAGGAGGTCTAGCATTTTAATCAAATTCCATGGTCTTAGACAATAATCCCTTTTCAAAAAAAAAAAATCAAATTACAGTTTTCCTGTACTTAACTACATAAAAATGCTGTTCTTTTCTAGTGTGTTGAACAGTAAAGGAACTTCTGACTACAGGAAACAGTCATGGATTAAAAACTGTTGGGAAATTTCTATGATTCTCTCTGCAGCTAAGGTATATATTTTGTTAACAGCCACATACCATTGCCTGGAGTGTCTCTACTAGTATGTGACTGCACATGTGTCTTTTGCTCAAATGCTCTTTACTGCATATAAAGCAGCTTTAAAGCCTTCTCTGAACAGCACAGGTATAAGCCCAATCAATCTCTATAGATGACAATATCTTCCATAGGTGTTAATTTTATTATATAACTAGAGGCCTGGTGCATGAAAATTCATGCACTTGGGGGGTCCCTCAGCCTGGCCTGCGCAGTCCGGGACTTC